TATATATATATATTTAAAATGGTTGGGTGCACGCGTGCTCTAGTATTAAGCTAACTCGCTCATGGCATATATGTTATTTTTCTTGCTCCACCCAACACGAGTCATTATCTTTGGGTGGGCGGGCGGTGGCGGCCAACAGGCGGAGGTGGTGGGCAGCCGACAGGTGGAGGAGGCGGGAGGTTGGCAGACAGAGGCTGTGGACTGCGGATGGTCGACAGTGGAAGCGACGGGTGAATTAGTGGCAGGCGGGCGGGCAGCAGTAGCGGCGATGGCAGGGGCGGCGATGGCGTTTAGCTGATCTAAATTTGATGCGTGATACGTCATAAGTTCCTTAAAAAAAAAAAAAAAAACAAAAAACAAAAAACTATTTGAATAAATGCGATGCCTCGTAAGAAAACCTCTCAAGCCAGGCGAAGTCAGTCAAGGCACATAAGACTAATGATTTTCTCTCATTACATATTTGTTCAGAAATGTATTCATATAGATATATATTAACCTGTTATCTCTCACCTATACATATCCGCTTCTGAATCGAAAATTAATTTTACTCTGCTTAACAATGTACCTTCCTGACGATGATGTTGGTGGTCAGAGAAATGCTATTATTAAGAAAATGTTACACCTAATTTAATTTGATGCGAGTCTCCGGTCATCATTAATATGTCTAATAATTCGAGCATCACTTCTTCAAGGCTAACTGTGCTAAGGGATTCGAACCGTCGACTTGACGAGAAATATTTGTGTACGTAAGACGTATGCAGAGCTGTGTAAGTCTGGTAGGTTACAGGAAATGTATTAGATGTTATATCTGCGTTTACCCCCTGTAACCTCCCTATAATCTACCTGTAACCTACCTGTCACTAGTAAGTTCTACGCTTCCGTTTTCATATATTTCTAAGTTACAAGTATGTTACATGTAAATTACAGGGGTTATAACGCAGATATAACTCTGAATACCCTTCTTTTAACTTATCTAACGTACGGTGCTGTATATATCTTACATACACAAATATTTCTCCGACTTGACATGTCTTTTAGCGTGGATGCCAACCAACATGTCAGAGTATGCGACACTTTTTTTTTTTTTTTAAGAAATTAGTTGTATAATTTTTAAAATTGAAGTTGGTTAAGATTAAATTTTGGATGTGACATTTATTATAAAGGAATAGAATAAAATAATGTTCGAATTCTTTTATATTAACTAACTAATAAGAAAGTTATTGACGGATTAAAATGAAAATTACGTGAGAGGAGTTTGTGGGAGGAAGCCCGGGGACTCCAGCAACTGCAACCTTCTCGTTCCTTCGAAATACCAGTTCTACTCGCTCTCTCTCACCATGGAAGTTCCAGTGGGATCCATCTCCGAGACTGGATCGTGATTTTGGTAACATCGGTAAAGGATTCTGCTTAGGTGTTTCTTTCATCTCGTTTTTGGCTTGTTTTCCATCTCATAATGTTTTTTAATTTTTTTTTCTTCGATTTTATTGATCGGATGTAAAGGAATATGTCAAATTTTAAGCGGTTAAGGTTTAATTTATAATTCTCTTGCTTGTAATCCACAGGTGAGTTTGGGGAGAGTTGTTGCAGATCGGTGGGTGTGGTGGCGGGAGGCGGGGAAGAGGATTTCGATGATTTGATGAATAAGGAACTTGTATCCTTAAGGTGAATTTGGCATGGAAGAGGGTTTTATAAATTCGCGGATATGGTTTTTGGAAGGAAGACGGGGAGGAATTTGGATGTCTGGTAAAAGAAGAGGAACCTTTGCTTGGTTTAACATGCTTTTGTTGTGCGGTGAAAATTGTTTTTAATTTTGTAAATTTTGCTGGTAGGTTTGGTCCGAATTTAGGGAAACCTTACCTGATCAAAAATTGATTTTCGATAGACTCGCTGGTACAAAGGGCTTGAACCACTTTGCAATCGTTGTTGAATACGGCTCTTTAGGTAAAACTGAAATGTAGACATGAACTTGCAGCATTTTGTCTTTAATGATGACATCGGATTATTGGCTTAGATTATAGCTAAGTTTGCCTGTTGCACTTATCCTTGAAATCTTTTTATCTGTATTCCATAATTTGGAACTTCTGGTGATTGTTTTTATCATGTTGTTCATTTTCTTAATTGCTAGTGGTTTTCAGTCCAACTTGTTGAAATCATACTGGCTAATCTCCATTGCTCTTCCTTTCAAGTTTCAATTTTTTTTGTATAAATTTTTAATCATGAAAAAAATCTTATTAATCATGAAAAAAATCTTGTAATAAAGAGTTTAATGCTAAAGTCATACTGAGTGTCAATTAATAGAGTTGCCATGTGATAAAAAAATGCTATGTAATGGAATTCTGTATGTGGGTACAGAACTTTAAGCAATATGAATATGTAATATTGCTCTATTATGACTCCTTTTATGCTTTAGATGTAAATACTGGGTTAATTATTAGTTATGTGACAGCATTTCTGCCGCTCTCCAGTGCCAATATCAATGGAACTGTCTTCCCTTTGCACCAGTTGTTTCTTTTTATTAGCGCTTTAAAATTCAGTTTATTTTGCTAGAGAATCGCTTGATGATGCACGATCTTTGTCATGGCACATAAGGCTCTTGGTTTTGTTCATTATCAGAATCTAGGGAAAAAAAAATGTTGTTGAAATATCATATGGTCAGCCCTCACCCATAAGCTTAAGTATTTGGCTTGAAAATAGGTTTAACCACCGATATATTTAACGCGATGCACTTTTGTGAGTAGTGAAAATCACAGAAGAATTATATCAATGATGAATATAGTGGCAAAATTTAGGCTGAAAGTAAATTAAGTTGTGGAAATCTCAGAAGCATTTTGATGAGTAGTGTGAGGCTTGAGTTTATTTTGTGAAACAGATAAGCTTAAATGACATGTAAAAGAATGGATGGATATATAGGAAAGAGGTATAATCTATTTTAGATCATTCATTGTAGGCTATAAAATATTTTCTCCTCTTCCACTCTTGTTTTTCTTTTATCTGCAGAAGAAAAAGATGTTATCACAATCCTGTTAAAGAATTAAGAAGATTTTAATGGTTGGCACACACTTATTATTTTAAGATCATTTATGTACAGACTTGCTTATTAATTCAAAGCTTTCTGGCTATCATATTAATTATTATGATGTTATGTTTTTGTTTGAAGATGTACCTTTCTACTTTAATAAATATTTGTTTATATTTCCCAGACCATCACTTCTCATCAAAATGTTTGCTTTTACTCGCACAATTCAACTTTTCTTCTTCTATTTTTTATCTACTCCAGTTTTTCTTCATTGATTGCAGCCTTTTGTCCTAAAAAAATTCAGATTTATGCCTTTGTTTCATTTCACTGGAGGACAGTGCTTTCTTAACTTTTTCTTTTTTACCTTAGTCTGAATAATGTTTCAGGGCTAGAAAAAGACAATAACGTGGTCAAGACATGAGCCATGGGCGGGATGAAAGGTGATTCATGTTTTTTTTTTCAGCTTTTATTCAAACCTTCATAGAGTGGTAGGCTTACTAGAAACCAAAAAAAATATTCTTGGGAGACTTGTTGCACTGTACACGTTTATTATTTTGTTGGCTGGAACACTTTTATGTTTGTCTGAGATGATGCTATCGTTTCAATTAGGTATGGTGAACAGGTTTTTTCTAATGGGGACATCTATATTGGATACTTTGATGGTCTACTTCCTCATGGGCATGGAAAATATACATGGTCAGACGGAGCAACATTTGAAGGTGAATGGGAGAATGGCAAGATAGCAGGAAAAGGATGGGTCTTTTGGCCATCAGGGTCTATATATGATGGTGAGTTCTGTGGAGGTTTCCTTCAAGGATGTGGTACCTTTTCCAGTATTGATGGCTCCGTTTACAAAGGATCATGGAGATTGAATACACAACACGGTCTAGGAACAAAAAGTTATCCTAATTCAGATATTTATGAAGGTTTATGGAGAGAAGGACAACAGGAAGGTATTGGAAAGTATACCTGGTGTAATGGAAACATGTATGTTGGCAATTGGAAGGCAGGAAGGATGAATGGTAGAGGAGTTTTGAAGTGGGCAAATGGTGACTTGTTCAATGGCCATTGGTTGGATGGATTGGAACATGGCACAGGTTATTACTACTTTGCAGATGGGTCATGCTATCTGGGTACCTGGAGTAAGGGGCTGAAGGATGGACGGGGAACATTTTATCCTGCTGGAAGCAGACTTCCGCTTCAGCAAAAGTGTTACAAGTCTAATTTTTGTTGTGAGTGGGCAAGATATCTTTGTCCTTCTGCATTAAGAAAATCTGAAAATGACAAAAACGAGCTTACTTTAATAAGAAGAAACACTGATAGTTGTAAAGTAAGGAGTTTGTTCGGGCATTCTGGACGAATATCTAACAGAACGACATCATTTGATGGTTATTCTGATTCTAGAGTTTCCTTTGGAAGCATTCCATTAAAAGACAACTGTGTTAGACTACCCTGTGAATCAGTTGAAGGTGAAAATGAGCTTCAAAATGACATCAAGGTTGCTTATGAGAGGGAATATATGCAAGGGGTCTTAAAAATGGAGAGGATTGTAAATCAACAAACGTCGAAACCTGAAAGAAATAAAAGGCTCCACAAAATTCAAAAGAAGCCTGTAGAGGTCCGTAGTGAAACAATTTACAAAGGTCACAGGAGTTATTTTCTGATGTTGAACTTACAACTTGGGATTAGGTATGTTGTCACTAAATTTAAGATCTAGAGTTGATGGTGGAGTTTCATTATAACTGCTTCCCCAATGACATTGATCCATTGCATGACTAAAGTGAGGTGTTGAATTTTTTTGTCATTTTTATTTGTAAACCAGCTGAATTTTCCATCCATTATCTAACTGTGCATGAAATTGATTTTTTTGTGCTAACAAGCAACTCTCATTTTTGAATTGAATTCTCTCCTTTTGTGTGCCTATAATGAATATTGGCAGGCATCTTGGCTTCCACTTCTAGTGCAATAAAGCTTTAAAACTTCATTTTGGGGCGATTGCTAAAATATTTATTAATAAAACCCCACCAATTTTACATTCATGCTTGTGTGGAAGCTGTTTCCTTGTAAAGCCAAATAAAAATTTCTTCCACACGATACATCTTTTACCAGGAAGGGCTTGATACAATTTATTGCTTCCATTATTGTCCCAAAATGCTTTCTATCATGTTCAATGTTATACATTTAAATTGTTGAGAATAATTCATTCAAGTCTTGTTTTAAAGCTGACAGGTATACAGTTGGAAAAATTACTCCTGTACCAGTTCGTGAAGTTCGTTCCTCTGATTTTGGACCCTGTGCAAGGATAAAAATGTATTTCCCTAGAAAAGGGTCTCAGTTTACACCTCCACACTACTCTATTGATTTTCATTGGAAAGATTACTGTCCAATGGTATTTAGGTACTTATTTCTTAACATATTAATGTTGTACTGTTGAAAATAAGCATAGTTTTAGAGCAATTAATATGTAGATCAATATCCAGTGAGAGGTAAAATATTTTGAATTGACTTCTAAATTTATACTTAGGGACCAAGTATAAGGTTATTTTCGTTAATATCCTAAAGGCATTTTTTACTTAAATAACCTTATATAACTCTGATGCCAGTCTGCAGGTTTGCTGACCAATTCTTGATGCATTAATAAGTGTTGCTTATCTAGAAAGCGAGTTTAATATGTGACTTTCAATACATATGATGATTACATGTCTTTTTGTTTCCTTAAACATTAGACAACGGATATCTGTCACTTGTTATAATGTTGTTGTTTATAATTTCCTGTTAAAAGTTGACTAAGCTTGGGGTGGCTCATTTATGCGCCTGATATCAACATGCATTTATTTGTTAAATAATTGCCTGAACATAATATCAATTCTACTGTTCCTGATCGTTTTTCTATTCATTAGTATACTTGTGTAACAAGAGAAGCAAGAAATTTTTTTTTTTACTTGAATTTTGAAAAGATGCTTGGATCCTTTTTTTATTTTAATATTGTGATTGTGATATATTCAGGAATCTACGTGAAATGTTTAAGATAGATGCTGCAGACTATATGGTCTCTGTATGCGGGTGTGATGGTCTAAAGGAGCTTTCTTCCCCAGGAAAAAGCGGGAGCATATTTTATCTTTCTCAGGACGAAAGATTTGTCATAAAGACACTTAGGAAAACTGAACTGAAGGTTTGACTTGCTAGAACACTTTTTTTTTTTTTGCAAGCTTTGTACCAGCTCTGACATGGCATTTTGTTGTCTTTTTCATAACAAGATGACTGAGAACGGTGAAAATTTGATTTTTATTTCGTTTCTCAACCAACTAATTTTCTTCTGCTACTTGTTAGCAGGCTGAAAGTTGTGAATATTTTTTCAATAACATTGTTAAACTTGTTGGTTCACAATGTTTCCTAGATCATACTTTGTCCAACCTCTTGTGCCCTACCCAATGCTCTCCTATACATCTCAGTCCCTGTAAAAAGATTGCTAAGAAGATTAAAATTTTTGTTTTATTATCAGAACAACTTAAAATATAAAAAAAATTAAAATTGAAAAAGTAAAGTTGAGAATAATGCAATGTGTATGAACATCATTGTTAGATTGCTATCACTTCAGATTTAAGAAGATCCATGTGATACCAGAGTTAACTCAACCCACGATGATAAAAAATAAATATTATTAAGCAAAAAATGAGGGATGCAATCAAGGCTCGAAACAATAAAGAAAATAAGACAATGAAGATAAGAGCAGCGAGATCCAACTACGACCTAAGGAGAGTATCCATGAATGTCGGCGATGAGATGGGTGCGGCTGATGATGGTGGGCGGTGGGAGCTGCAGGTGCGGGTGGCTGCTGGAAGGTGGAGGGCCGCAGGGGTTGCGGTGTCGGCAGGGCAGCGGATTTGGGTGGTGGTTGTCGCAAGGGCCTGGAGGGGATCTGCAGGTGTTTGTAGGTTGCTGGAAAGAAGGTCGAAGGAGGCAGTGGTGCGTGTGGTTGCTCTATAGACCTGGAGATGGCTGGCGGCCTATTGGAGGTGCAGGGAGGAATCGGCGGCCCGCTGGGATATGCAGGAAGGAGTCAGCGGCCAATGGGAGGCGCTGGAGGTAGTTTCAGCAGTTGAACATATGCTGGAAGTGGTTGACGGGCTGTTGGAAGATGCAGGAGAGGTCTATGGACTGCAGAGAGGTGCAGGGAGGAGTTTGCAGTTAGCTGTAAGTGCCGGAGGGGAGGCTGCGGTCTATTGTAGGTGCGGGCAAGAGTGTGCGGCCGGCTGGAATTGCAGGGAGGAGCACTTACAACACCTCTTGCAATCTAACAATCTTCCAGAAATATAAATCAGCAATATGAGACGCGTCCAGTGTCATATGGCAAGGTATAAAATGTGTCATCTTCGAGAATCGGTTCACTATAACCATCACAGAGTCCTTGTTCCTCGGCGTCCTCGGAAACCCACCGTGAAGTACATAATAATATCTACTCATGGTACCTCTCGTACTGGTAATGGGGTGTAAAACTGACATTTTTCCCTCTCCTCTTTGTTAGATGGCGAATCTTGAACTACCTAATATGTCGCCCCACATCTCTCATCAATCAGAGCCAAAATAAATGCTCCCTCACTAGGGAGAGACTCTTTTCCTGGCCAAAATGTCTTGCTAATCCTCCATTGTGGCTCTTTTGAACAATAGCCTCTTCTAGCGAGCACTAGGGAATGCACAACTAACTCCGATGGTATAGCTATCTGTTTAGTAATTCTCCTGGTCGTTTTCTCCTGACATTATTCCGAGATTTCTTTGAAGTCCTCATCAGCGTTGTACAAATCCTTTATTACCTCAAAACCCACAACTCGTGTTTGCATTGTTGTGATCAACAAGTGACGACGACTCGGTGCGTCTCCTTCACAGTTCTGGTTCCCCGCCTTGTGCTTAAGCACGAATTGGAATGATGCTAGAAATTCCATCCAGATGGCTTGTCGGCTCTTTAGTTTGTTCTGGTTATTGAGAAATTTCATGGCCTCGTGATCTGTAAGTAGTGTGAACTCGCTCGTTAGCAGGTAATGACTCCAGCACTCTAGAGCTCATACATTAGCATAAAATTTGTTTTCGTATGTTGCGTATTTCCACCTGGATTCATTCAACTTTTCACTGAAAAAGGTGATGAGGTGACCCTCTTGGCTCAACACTACCCTTAACCCCACGCCAGATGCGTCACACTCTGTCTCAAATGACTGGTTGAAGTTTGGTAAGGCTAGCACGGGAGCCTGAGTCACTTTCTCCTTCAAGGTGTCGAAGCTGGTTTGAGTTGTCGTTGTCTATGTTAACTCCTTCCCTTTTAAAAGCTTAGTCAGATGAGCTGCGATAGTGGTGAAGTTTCTGATGAATCTTCGGTAGAACGATGCAAGCCCCAGAAACATACACTAGTCATGATATAACCCAGAAAATATATGTAGTCTGTCATGAAGTGTCAATTCATTGTATAAGCATATAGTTCCTTCGCTCGCAATACCTCAAACAATGTCCTCAGGTGTTGTAAGTGCTCCTTTGTTATGCACCAAAAAGTTAGAGACTACCACAAAATTTTCAATGTGGGTTCGTAACACTTGGTTCATCAACCTCATAAAAGTGCTAAGCACGTTTGACAAGCTGAATGACATAACTGTCCACTCGTATAACCCATCTCATTTTTTGAAAGCGGTTTTCCACTCGTCTCTTAGCCTTATCTATATCCTATGGTACCCACTGCATAACTAGTTCAAAAGATCATTCAGGCGAGTTATGAGAAACTGGTAATTGATGGTAATTTTGTTGATGGCTTTGCTACGATGCATATCTTCCATATTCCGTCTTTCATGGGTACCATTAATGCGAGGACATCAAAAGGGCTGGTACTCTCTCTCACTAACCCTCCTGCGATGAGATCCTGCACATGTCGCTGCAACTACTTGTACTCTGTCAGTCTGCAAGATTGTCGGTCAACACGTCTTGGAACTTGTGTTGTAGTGTTTGGAGCGGTGCTGGTATCATATTCTCCATCTCTGTCCCCTTGAGTAGGTCTAAGGCTATTACTACTGGCGCATCTCGAACTGACTGAATGAAGTGGCTCTCGAGATTAACGCTTCATCTGTGTCGCCTACTCGTCTCTTATCCTTAATAGGTAATTACACGACGTGCTTCCCGTCCTTAAAAGTATAGGTATTCCTGAAGTCTTCGTGCTGAGTCTTGTGGTCGAACTGCCAAGGCCTTCCTAGTAGAATATGATAGGTGTTCATCAGAACCACGTCGCACTAAACTTGCTCCTATAATTGATTGCCAATTGAATACTCAACTAGATACTACTAATCCACACGTTTCTTATTTCCCTCTTTTAGCTAGGTGAGGGAATATGACTAAGGATATTTCTGTGTGGCCAATCCTAAATTTTTCACCATCGGTGTGGACACTACATTTTCGCAACTTTCATTGCCTATCAAACTACAAACCTTGCCTTTTTCCGTACACTTGGTGCGAAATATGTCGTGCCTCAGCCATGACTGATCTCTTTCAGGTTCTGACTGCAAAACTCTCTGTATGAGTAGCGATCCTCTTTCGTTGCCTTGGACCTGAAGCTCTTCCTCAGGACTATCCTTGGACTCTTCATCCTCTATCTTCTCGATGATGCCCTGATCCGTGGAGACAACTCGACTCGTGGGGCAGCTAGAGACTGTGACCTTAACTGTGGCACCGAAAATACTTTCTAGTAGACACTATTCCGGAAGGATTACTCTTTTCTGGCTCCTTCCCAGTCGGCTCAGTCTTGTCACTCTTTGGTACTATTTTTCCTGCACCTCTTGTAGTAGTCCTGCTCGTAGCTGTAGCTGCCGGTGATGACCTGAATGAGGACTGTTGACTGAAAGAGGTCAGTGGCCTGGTCTGTTTCTGCTGTCTTTCTACGTCTAAGGGAAATGTCTTGACATCACCAAGCGACCAATAGGGTTGCAGTTGTATCACGTTGCTAATATTAGGCTTCAGCTTCCCAGATATCGAGCAATCGTCTGCTCTGTCTTGACTAGCTCACACCTCATCTGCAATTGATTGAACTACGTTGTAATTTACTCCACTGAAAGATCTTGTTGCTGCAAGTGGTGAAGCATCAGAAACTTGTTTTGGCGGTATATATTTTTGCTCCTGTTCCTTCCTCTTCTCCCATTTTGAAATTTTATCATGACCATTTTTTCTCTGCATCTACAAATCCTCCCACCACAAGGAGGTGCTCTTTTTCAACTTGATGATGACCAATTTTACCCGTTTATCTTTTGGCGCGTCTGTATGTTCAAAGATTTATTTCACTGATTGAAGCCAATCGACAAAGTCATCCGGAGCCATGCCTCCATCAAAATCTAGCTAATCCACTTAGGTATATATATCTTTCTTTATAATATAACGAAAAGAAAGAAATGGGAAGGGATAAGCTTACAATACTAGATCAGTCGAGGAAGAAGGAGAGGGAGCGTCGATCCTCAACCTTCGGTTGGGTTGAGGGTGAACGAGGAAGAAGAAAGGTGAGAGATAGGGTTTCAATGGGGTCTATACGCCACGTTCCCATTGCTCCTTCACGACTAGTTCTAATAACGACTGTATTGCAAGGGTTCAGAAAAGGAGGTAAAAGATTGGAGTTTTGGTGGTGAGGGTTTAGTGGCTACAAGAGTGGGCTAGAGAGATGTGAGTGTGATACCCTAGCTTCAGCGTCAGTCCTCCTAAAATAGCCAAGAGAGGCGGTAAAGTAGCGAATAAAAGGAAGGCAACAACAGTGGATTGAGGAAGAAAAGGAAAGAATTGTGTTTTGGGAAAGTTGGCTCCGGATGAACAATTTAGGAAGACGGCCGGGATTGCAATAGCGAGCGATGAAGGAGAAGAATTTTTGGTTCTTACATTGTCAATCCCTTGTTTCTCACATGGCTCAATGCCTTTTATTGATCATCAATGTTTGCTCTCTATTCCTAAATTCATGTTTGTACTAGCGGTGACATTGTAAGTATGCAGTCATTTCTTTAACCCATTTTAATTTCTGCTTTATGATTTCTAAAGGGATTTCTTTTGCAGGGTGTCCAACTACTTAAAAAAAGCTTAAAATTAAATTCCATTTCTCATGAAGCTATATCGAGTACTTTTGCTCAACCTCTATTGAATAAACCTACCTGAGCCTTTTTATTGACTTCATGGAGACTAAAAGACACTCAAGCATCATCATTCATTATTACTTTGTTATCATTTTACCTAATGCTAACTGTTTGAGTTGGCTTTATGTCTCTCCATTCTGATTGGTGCAGCATGTGTTAACTCTATTTTGCACAATTTATCGCCCAATCTCTTGCTATCTTATCATTGATCTACTACATTTCATTCCTATTACTTTCAAATTACTTCTATTTGCTTGTTTTAATGGTGCATCTTCCATCTCCACTTTACATGTGTAAACCAATAATCACTATTTAGTCACCTTACGATCTTCGAATGGTGCCACCCCCCATTTTTATTTTATAATTGCTCAATGTCTTTTATTGATCATCAATATTTCATAATAAAATTATTTTTATTTTATCGTACATTCATCTTATCATCCTTTGTTTTTTATTACACAATTAATTTGGCTGTTGGTGACTTTTGAATCATGCTAGCACGTACAATTAATCGTAAAAACTCTATTAAAACCTGAATAGTTTTGCCACCACTTAAACTATCATTTTAATATAGGTCACTATAATTCATGCAAGCTTTTTCTTAAACATTTTTATTTGATTGGACTTAGGGATGCATTAACTGGTTCCTCTTTCAGGTTCTACTGAAAATGCTCCCCAAGTACTATGATCACGTTGGAGCTCATGATAATACACTCATAACAAAATTTTTTGGGCTGCATAGGATCACAATAAAATGTGGACAAAAGGTATTTAATTGCTTAGGTTTGTTTGGGATCACTTTTTTTTTCTTTTCTGTCTTTGTTTTTGCTTTTATTCTGAAAAACATGTTTATTTAGTGAATTTTATCCATTTATTTTATATTTTTAAAAACAAGTAAGCTTAATTTTAAAATACTCAAAATATCTAAAAGTTTCTTTGAGTGTTTTCAAAAACAGCTAAACATTTTATAATATATCAAAAAATATTTTATTTCAAATAGAAACATACACAAAATAAAATGAATTAAAAATAAAAATAAAAATTAAAAGCAATCCCAAATGACCTCTTAATATATTAGTCTGTCTTTTTTCAGAAATACTGTCACTGAGGGTTCCTTGCTGCAGGTCCGATTTGTTGTGATGGGAAATATGTTTTGCACTGAACTTCGCATTCATCGCCGGTATGATCTAAAAGGTTCATCTCATGGAAGAACAACAAGGGCTGATAAGATTAACGAGAACACCACTCTCAAAGATCTTGATCTGTCTTACGTTTTTCATTTGGAGAAATCCTGGCGTGAGTCACTTTTCAAGTGAGTTCTTTATTTTATTAGCTCTTTTTTTTCTTTTTGAGTACACCATTCTTAACTCTCCATTGTAAACTCCAACACTACTGATGTTCTTCTGGTAAACTGCCTCAAGGAATTATCTCATGGAATATAATTTGAACTAATGTACGTTTTCTCCACTCATATATTTATTTTATGTAGAAGTTAGACCGACCCCACTGTTCATGATATGGAAATTGCTACGTGGTTTCTGCTTTCTTTTTTGTCATAAAAATTTGTGGATCTTCTGTTCTCTTTCCTATAAATCTTCAGGTCTTTGTCACCTTCTTTGTTTTTAGGAGATTCATAATACTTTCTTATAGTCCTAATCATTTTTTTCAAGTATCCTTCTTTTTATAACTGATTGTTAAATGTGTTATGCAAGCTAGTTTTTGCTGTTCATAACGTTGTTCAAGCTATATGCTATTGCATGCTGTTTGTCCGCAAGTACATTTAAATTACTCTTGATTAGTAAATTTTGGATGATTTGAGAAATTTTTAACATTTGAACTTGTTACAAACTTTGAGATAGGCGGTTAAATCTCGCCCTAAATGTTTAATCTATTTTATGGAAGAGAATAGTCTTTACATTATGTTCTCTTAGGGAACTGATAAATAGGCAGTTTAAGCTCGTGCTAAATGTTTAATCTTTTTTATTGAAGAGAATCGTCTTTAGATTATGTTCTCTTAGGGAACTAATAAAAATACACATCGACAGGTCACTAATACTTTTTAGTGATTTTTTAAATTGAAATCATGAATTAGGATTTGTTTTTGCTAATTTGTTTGCTATACATTTTGACTTACTATCAATTAATCATTATCATCATTACTCTAAACATTACTTAAACAGGGTTTCTGAATTCGTTATTCTTCATTTAATCCTATAGAGTGTTGGTTAAAGCTGTTAAAAATTATTTGGAAAGTTCATCTAAGGTCCTTGTGCTTTTCAGTTATTTTTAGCGCTTTGATTTATCTATGTTTTTTTTAATATTATTCAATTTTAATTTTTCCAAGTCTTATTATGCAACTATTTACAATACTAAATATTTATCTTCCCCTTTACAGATTTTATGAGCCATAGCTCTATCCTTAGATTCCAACCCTTGCCCAACACTCCCTTGGTGCCTCTCTCTTTCTCTCTCTCTCAATCTTATTATTTTCACAAAACATTTGGTTTTTGCTTTCAAAAATGCTATTGTCATGTGTTTGGCAATGACTAGATATAATTTTCTAATTAACGAATGCTTTCAAACAATAATCATATGAGGAATGACACCATTCTTTGGCTCCTAAAAGGTGTTTGGGAAGTGGATCTAACGGTAAGGTATATATGGAATAATAAGGGAATGATAAATGAAATAATAACTATGTCATAGATTGACCTTCAACTATATGATAAATTTATGGATACATTTTCCTTTTATTTCTTGCTATTTAGTGTGAGCGGTGTGGGAGTTAATATGTGACTTATATTGATATTACTTTTAGTTTTGTTAAAAAAATTGTAGAAAGATGCAAAAATTTAAGTCGTTCTTTGAGGCGAGTGCACCATAGTTTAGGCCAGCCGTATGCCTCACCTAGGGACAATGAGACCTAAGCACTGTTGTGATTTTTTGCAAAAAAGTATTAAGGCAGGTCTCAAAGCGTACTTCATATTGTGCAATTTAATCAAGGGCTGTATTCATGTTCTCTCGTTACTTTTTATCTCTAAACTTAATCAATATCCTTTTATCTAATCAATATTAAATATATAAATAATAATTTGATATTAAAACAATGGCTATGTTGATTTAAACATAATTATGTCCTTAATTATATATTACTCGGCTAATGAGGTTTATTTTGCCTATATTTATTTTTTAAAAATCCTAGATATAATTATGCATGCCTCGTTAAACCAAGGCGAGATACCCATCACACTATATAAGGCATAAGTCTCATTTCATACGCAATTAAGCATAATCTTATACCGAATTTTTCATAATAATAATGATAAAAAACTGAGGTAGGCTTTATGTCGTGCAATTTTAAACTATGAAACTTAGCAAACTTATAAATTTTTACCACATTTGGAAATCCATTAAATATATGCTTGGAGATTAGTTAAGACCATCCAATGAGTTTTGGAGCTTCGAAGCATTGTTGTCATTTTTTTTATTCTCAAACTTGGAAGAATATTTGTATAAGATTTCCACCTAGTCACTATTTAATAATAAAATCTTGATGTCTAGATTTTCTAGTGGCTAATTTAGATTTATTTATAGAAAGAGCAAAACTTTTATTTAGTTGAGTGTGGATACTTGGGAATTTATCTCTTCATAATTATTTTCATAGGAGTTGGTAAACTCTTTTGCAGCAAGTCAAGCCTTAAACACATCGATGTTGCCATCTATGTTGTTCTTGAAATTGAAAATCTACTTATTCCTAATTAGTCTTTTCACTTCGGGTAGATTTGAGATTTTCCAATTCCTATTTTCCGTAGGTGCTCTTATTTGGTCATGAAAGTAGCATCAACATAGGTTGGCTGAGTGCTTCTCGCATGTATTTTGAAATATGTAAATTTGTTAGAGTGGTGGCAAAGATTCTAAAGTTTAGAAGCATTTTTCATGGAATACAAAGTTATTGATCAGATGCTAAGTATGAGCTCTCAGACTCTTTCTAATAGCAATAGGTTGAAGATGATCATTCAGATGCTTAATTGACTAAAATTTAGTTGTAGTGTGACATGGACAAGTTTTAGGAGTCATCGGAGCTGGTTCAAATTCTCGGTTCCACTTGTGAGGTGTCGCATAATCCACATTTTATTTAGTTTTCATTTTTTTAGCAGATAACTTTTTGTTGATTTTGTCTTTCTTCTCTATGCTCAAATCTGGAGAGTCTAGCATGTGTGGGATTGAGTTTAGTGTTTGAATGTGCTTGGAATTGTGGTTTTTTGAGGTTTCCCAATAGTCTCATTTTCCCAAAGCTAATAATCTCTTGTGATAGGATTCTTCCCCTAAAATGAAGATTTTTGATAGTGTTGATTCTCAAAGAATGCCAACTCCATGGAATTGTAAATATTTTGGGTCAAATTTGTTTTGATGTTTTTGATGCATGTGAACAAAAGTTATACATTCGAATACTGTATAATTTGGACGTTTAGAAATGAAGGAATGTTTGGAATGGGTTGTTCTGCTTTAAGACTAGAGAGTTTTTTGGTTGATGAGTTTTTCTGTTGTATGAAAGAATTCCTCCCTAAAATTTTTTTTAAAACGTGAGAAGTCATCATGAGAGATCTAGCGACTTCTAATGGATGCTCATTTTTCTTTTCAACAATTCCATTTTGTCAGGAATATCTCCCCATAGTTTGATGTATTCCCCTGAATGACTCAAGGACTAGTGTTAGTACTTCATCCTAAATTATTTTTTGAAGACTAGCTTTACTTGAAATTAAGTTTGAATATGATAAAATTCTAGAACAATTTGTAGACTTTTACTTTTTTTCTCTCCTTGAAATATTTATGCAATCCGGATGCTATCATCAATGAAGGTAATGAACCATCTTGAACATGCAAAATTAATGATGGTAGAAGTTCTCCAAATATCCCCTTGTATCATGAAAAAGAGTGTGAAATGGTTTCTAAGCTTGATATGGGTACATATTATGAATATGCTTGGATAGTTCAAAAATGTAACGATAAAAACCTTGCCTTTCTATAAGGATGAAAATAGATTTTTAAAGGATGAAAATAGATTTTTAAGAAGCAAGAAATTTTGGTCTTAATCAATAATGCCACATCTTGGCAACTCAATCTTTGTCATTTCTAGAAGAGAAAACAACAACAACCAAGTGCGGTCGGCTACATTATTCCTTTTTCTCCATTGCTAGAAGAGGGAGCCACATATTTATTCTTCTTTGATTGTCTTATAAGATAGAGACTTTCACACATCCTAATGATGCCAATCATTTTCTCTAATCTGAGCTTCAATCAAATTTGAAAAAAATTAGTAACACAATTATGATCTCTTATACGTCTTCTTTTTGACAACAAATTTTTTTTTTTTGAAAGCCCAAAAAGGCTAATATAGTAAATAGAAAAAAAATACAGATACAATGTGTGGGAGGACCCAAGCATGACACTCTGCCCACAAAAAAAATCACAAAAGGTTTCAAAACTAGAAAAAATAGAAAATACATTAGATTCTAAAATAAAAAGCCTAACAGTGCTGAAATACATAGTATCATGTGGCTAGAGAGCGACCCAATTTGGTCTTGCCTCTGCCTCTAGTTCTAGGGAAGGAGCAAGCTAATAAGTTGGTAAGATGATTGCCATTGCCAGTAGTAACCAATGTATCATCCAATATGTTCCCGAGTTGGAGTCGGCCTCCATTCTTCTTCTTCCTCCTGGAATAAACCTGTCGTTCGTCATCCGAAGAATCAGTCTGATGGGGTGGTAGAGCTGAAGCAGAAGGAATACCAACCGTAGTACCCACAATAGGTTCTAGTATATGTGAATTATGAGTTGCCTCTACACTGAATACTTCCTAAAGAAGTAGAGCTACGAGGCTCTCCTGATTATCAGTCTGAACACTATCATTTGTAGGTAATAGCCCATTAGTATTGTTTTCTATGAGGTTTGAAGGTGCCAACATCACATCACTCGCAGTACCAGTAACGACAAGGACAATAGAATCAGATACCAAAATATGTCCTATTGTAGCTTTCTCTCCAGGTGGTACAGATATATCCTTAGAACCATCCTTATTCACTTGATTTTTAGATTTTAAATTAGGGTGAAGCTTATGACATTTATTAAGAGTATGCCCAAACATCTTACAATGAGAACAATAAGAAGGTCTATGCTCTATGACGATTTGTTGCCAATATCCGTTATGCGTTGTGCTCAGCCAAACTTCAGTAACATCAGAGAAAGTAATATATCTTTCCACAAGTATTCTGACCACAGAAGGTCTGGTAAGGTTGAAAGTGAGTAGATCTAGCT